AGAAGCTACTAGGGGCTCCTGGCATCGCTACTAGGAGCGATCGGACGCTACTGGCTCCCGAACAAGGTGTGTTTGGAAAGAGTGGCAAGTGCGCCACCAAAAGATCGGCCCGGCTTAGACTGGCTCAGGGGTGGGCGGATTAACATAAACCATTTGACAAAGGGCATCGCTACCAGCTAGAAGCTACTAGGAACAAGTGCCACGCTAGTAGTAACAGGTGCCTTACTAGTAGTAACTAGAAGCTACTAGTAACAAGAGCATTTCTACTAGGAGCAAGGACGCTACGAACGTAGCTCCTGGCAGACAACTGAAGCTTTAGTGTTCGTTTCGTGGTTCACAGCTTCAGGGTGTTCGGACGCCATGGCCAGGGATTTGCAGCGCGTGGATGACTTGAACTTTGGTGACCCGAAGTTTCAATGTAGAAAGGAAAGCAAGAAGATAGGAAAAGTAGCACACTTTTGATGAAGAACAGCTCTTAAGGCCGGCTCAGAATAGAAGAAAAATAAGTGAACAGTGTAACAAATGAGAGAATAGTTAAGGAAAACCACTTTTTGCCGCGCCGCAGGATGTAAATTCGTGCGTCGACGCTCCAAAACACCGATACTTGTGAACAAAAAACACCAACATGTGGGCCTTTTGGGCCCTTTTCTGATGCAAATAGGCGCTGAAGATACAGATTTCCTTACATTAGAGTAGAACATCAATGAAATTAATGCAAACAAATCGATAGAGCGGTTAGAAAGGCCATAGGCCTGATAGGCCCGAACTCGGGTTTGATAGGGACTTGGCGGATCGGTGCAGCTTGGAAACGAAGGTCTGAATCTAGACAAACATAGAGCACAGGTCTTTAGCAAAAACAAATAAAGACCACATACAACAGATCTAGAAAGGCCTGAAGGTATTTAAAACCAAAAGGGAACCATAAAAGAAGCAGAAACGGTTCAAACGATTGAAGATGGAACCGGCAAAAAGGAAGAACCAAAAGGATAACAGGAAACACATTTGGACATCTAAAAGCGAAACCAAGAAAAGCTGAGGCTTGAAGAGTGTACCACACAGAGACACACATGCATGTTAGTTGAGAAGACTATACACACGCATACACGTTGCGTCCAAAGTGTATCGCACAAAGGTACATTAGTTGAAGCAGCCGGCACAGGGCCCGAGCCTCACACGACAATCATCAACTTGTTTTCTTTCTGAGGAAGTTTCTGTGTCAAGACATGTTCAATTATTGTTGTATTCTACTCAATTTTCTTTGCTTCATTCTATTCCAGATCTAAGACCTTCAAGATTGTCTTTGTTACAGGATTACTGTTGCGTCGCTCGTGTATGGCAGCGCATGACTGCATGACTATACAACAGTTTGCTGCAAAGCTAGTTTCATCGGATTTGAACCTATGACGGCACTGTAGGGCGCTGTAGGGTGTTGGACGTGTTCTATCCCCGTTTGTTTCATGCATTAGCTTCTTGTTACTACTAGTAAGGCACCTGTTACTACTAGCGTGGCACTTGTTACTAGTAGCGATGCACTTGTTACTACTAGCTTCTTGTTACTACTAGCATTGTGCCGTGGATGTTTGGCAGGGCTCTGGGTGTTGCAAAGCGACGACCTGTGACGGCCGCGGGGATGCAGTTGGGCGGACAGCCTGGACGCCGTCTAAATATAGGCCATCGCTTCTAGGAGCAAGAAGCTATTAGGGGCTCCTGGCATCGCTACTAGGAGCAAGGACGCAACTAGGGGCTCCTGGCCGTACTACAAGGAACAAGAAGCTACTAGTAGCAAAGGGCCTTGCTACTAGGAGCAAGGATGCTACTAGGAGCACCTGGCATTGCTACTGGAGCATTCGCTTCTAGGCTGGAGGCAATCGTTAGTAGGTTGGAGGTCATCGCTACTGTTTTCGTGCTAGCGAAGACTCGCTCGTTGATTTGCTCGTGGGAAGGAATGGAATTGGACTCGCTCATGCGCTTGATTTTTTTGCTTTTGGTAAGGTGACGCAAAGAGGAAAACATGATGTAGCCTACCCCTGTCTAATCCTTTTGCAGCCATCTCTCTCTCCCTATCACATGTATCTTTCAGGTGTCCTTGTGGGCGCTTGGCTTACTATTGGCGGCCTTCGCAAAAGGCACGCGACCCACCGACACACTCAATTTGCGCATGGCGCGCGCGTCGCGATCGAGCAGACAAATATTCTTTGTTTGATTATGGAGATGGCTTCCAAACGTGTCAGGATTTTCTGTGCTGTTCAGTTTTCTTCATCTCTTGTCCTTTTTTGGAGCGTCTGCTCTGTCACTTGCAACATCATGCCACAGCGCCCGAAAAGCCCCTGCCGGAAGGTTTTGCTGTTGACGACGTCACTGCCGAGACATTTAGCTTAGGCCTGCGACCATATGTGCCTCACAAGAATGGCAGACAGTGCATTCGTCTTCTCCTCTTCGAGATATTCTCTTCTTCATTTTCTTATCTTTCATTGCCCTTCCTTCTTTTCTCGTCTTTCTTTTCTCTGTATATTCCCTTTGTTTTATATTTCAGCATTCTCTATTTTAAATGTGTATTGAACACTTTACTTCATTTCTCTTCTTGCATTTCTCTTCATTCGCTTCTCTTCATTCTTTTCTTTGATCGTTCTTTTTCTCTTCGCTTTTCTTTTCTTTTGATCACTTCCTTATGTTTTCTTCAGATTGTTTCTCTTCTTGCTTTTAGTTTCAATCTTTCTCGTCTTGGTATTCCTTTTTCTTGATTCCTTTCTTTTCTGTTTCTTTGTTTCTCTTCTTTGTGTTCCTTTTATTTGCTTGCTATTCTCTCTTTGCTTCTTTTTCTTCCGTAGTAGTAGTAGTAGTAGTAGTAGTGGGTAGTAGGTAGTAGTAGTGGGTAGTAGGTAGTAGTAGTGGGTAGTGGGTAGTGGGTAGTGGGTAGTGGGTAGTGGGTAGTGGGTAGTGGGTAGTAGGTAGTAGGTAGTAGGTAGTAGGTAGTAGGTAGTAGGTAG